GGGGGGGGGGGGGGGGGGGGAATGTTATCATTGGCCGAATAGTAGGTTCTCGAGAAGGAACCTTTGTTCATCCTTGACCGAGGAGTTGGTACTCGGGGGAGATTGCTTTCATCAACCTCGGCCGAGGGGATATCTCGGGAGGGGTTTCTTTCAACCTTGGCCGAGAGGGTATCTCGGGAGGGATTTTGTTCAACCTTGGCCGAGAGGGTATCTCGGGAGGGGTTTCTTTCAACCTTGGCCGAGAGGGTATCTCGGGAGGGATTTCGTTCAACCTTGGCCGAGAGGGTATCTCGGGAGGGATTCTTTATTCGTCCTTGGCCGAGTAGTAGGTACTCGGGAGGGATTATTTATTCAACCTTGGCCGAGTAGTTGGTACTCGGGAGGGATTCTTTATTCAGCCTTGGCCGAGTAGTAGGTACTTGGGAGGGATTTCGAGTGAATTGATTATGCTAAAAAAATTGAATTGACTGAGCAAAAGAATTTGTTTCATTAACGTGGAGCCTCATTAAAAACCTTTCGTCAGTAAAACCTCTTTCACAATTTTTTTCAAGAGGGAAAAACCTGAGAAAGGAAAAGAGTGCTCCGAAACAAGTTACATGAAAATGCTTTAGCTAAAGTAATGCTTTAGGTGTGTCACATTCCAAGTGCGGGGTATAGCCTTTCCATCGAGCTCTTCCAGTTTGTATGCTCCATTCTGCAAGTCATGCCTCACCCGATATGGTCCATCCCAATTGGGCGCTAACTTCCCCTAAGTCTTATCCTTTCTTGCTTCGCCTGTGACCCGCCATACTAGGTCCCCTGTCTGGAAACGACGAGGCTTCACCTTTGTTCTGATTTTCCTAGCTGCCCTGGTTCGACAAGCTTCCATGTTGACGAGTGCTGACTCACGTGTTTCATCGACAAGATCTAAGTCTATGCTGAGAGCTGCCTTGTTGGTTTCCTCATCAAACTGTTGTCGTCGGAGAGAAGGTTCTCCAACCTCTACTAGGATCATAGCATCGGTTCCGTAAGTCAGCCGAAAGGGGGTTTCCTTGGTAGAACTTTGCGGAGTACAGCGATATGCCCACAGAATCTCTGGTAGGTGATTTGGCCACGAGCCCTTGGCTTGCCTGAGTCGTCGCTTCAATTCTTTGAGGATAACTTTGTTGGCAGCTTCGGCCTGCCCGTTGGACTGGGGATGCTCAACGGAAGTCATTTTATGCTTGATGCCTAATTCTGAAAGGAAGTCATTGAAGCGAGGATCGGTGAATTGTAAACCGTTGTCAGTGATCAATGCATACGGGATCCCAAAGCGTGTGACACGTTCTTCCAAAACAACTTTTGGACGTTGTTGGCCGTTATGGCGGCCACTGCTTCTGCCTCAATCCATTTAGTGAAATGATCTACTACCACAATGAGGAATTTCATTTGTGCTTTGGCCGGCGGGAAAGATCCGAGTATGTCCATTCCTCAAGTGGAGAACGGCCATGGGACCGTGATGGAGTGCAACTCTTCGGGAGGTTGGTGTGTGATCGGCCCAAATTGTTGGCATGGTTTACATTGTTGAACAAATTCAGCGCAATCTACGACTAGGGTTGGCCAATAATATCCTGCACGAAGGACTTTGGCCGCGAGAGTTTGGCTTCCCGAGTGAGTTCCACACACACCTTCATGGATCTCCCGGATGACGTAGTGCGCTTGTTCGGGAGTGAGACACTTCAATACAGGGTGGGAGATGCCTCGTTTATATAATTCTCCAGCGACTAACGTGTAACACGCTGCTGTGGTTCTCAATTTCTTAGCTTTGAGGGAGTCCTCCGGCAATTCCCCGGTGAGAAGGTGGTTGATTATGGGATCCCTCCAGTAGGGGCTTCCTTGGTCGACCTGCAGACACTCGGTTTCATCGATGCTCAGGCTTACCAGCTCTTGCTGTATCATGCTGCGCAAGTGGCTAGTTTTCTTGCTACTAGCTAATTTGGCTAACTGGTCAGCTCTAGTATTGTGCTCCCTGAGAGTATGCATGACTTGGACAGCTTCAAATTGGCTTTTCAGCTTCTGGAACGCGTGAAAATACAACAATAAAGTTGGTTCTTTGATCTGAAAAGTTCCATTGACCTGCCCCGTCACCACTTGTGAATCACTGTAGCACTGGATTTTAGTGATGTTGACATCGATTGCCAATCTGAGTCCTGCAAGAAGGGCTTCGTATTCTGCTTGGTTATTAGACGCTTTGAATCCGAACCGCAGTGACTGTTCTATTACAATTTTTCTGGGACCTTCCAAAATAATGCTGGCACCACTGCCTTGCTGGTTTGAAGACCCATCCACGTGTAGTGTCCAGAGGTATGTTTCAGGAAGTATTGGTGGTGTGAATTCATTGATGAAGTCAGCTATGCTTTGGGCCTTGATAGGCCCCCTCGGTTCAAAGCGAATGTCGAATTGTGACAGTTCAATGGACCAAGCAACCATCCTTTCGGCTAGTTCAGGTTTCCGCAATACTTTGACAATGGGGCTATCCGTTCGGACTAGTATCCTGTGGCTTTAGACGTAGTGTCGGAGGCGCCTGACCATGTGTACAAGAGCAAGAGCAGTTTTCTCAAGATGCTGATATCTGGTTTCGGCCTCTTGCAGGACTCGGCTAATGAAATATACCGGTGTTTGTTCTATTTTTTCTTGCACCAATACCATGCTGATGGCTTTATCTGAAGCCGAAAGGTATACAATCATGTCTAACTGGGGGTCCGGTTTAGCTAACAATAGGGGAGCTGCTAGCATTGCTTTAAAGTTCTGGAAGGCCGATTCACATTCGTTGGTCCATTTAAACTTAGTGGCTTTCTTTAGCAAAGACATGATGGGCCGCGACTTGTCTGCCATGCAAGGCAAGAAACGAGCCAAGGAAGCTATGCGTCCGGCCAAGCATTGTACTTCCTTTACATTAAGTGGGCTTCTCATGTTGATGATGGCTTGGCACTTGTCAGGGTTGGCCTCTATACCCCTACTCGATAGCATGAAGCCTAGAAATTTTCCCCCGGTAACCCCGAACGTGCATTTGGCCGGGTTCAATCGCATGCGATGTCGTCTGACCTCATCAAAAATGGTGTGGAGGTCTATCAGGTGGTCGGCGGCGGAATTGGACTTGATCACCATATCGTCCACATAGACTTCCAGACATGTTCCTATCTGTTGACGGAAAATCTTATCCATTAGGCGCTGATAAGTTGCCCTGACATTTCTCAAGCCAAACGTCATAACCCTATAACAGAAGTTCGCTGAATCTGTGATGAACGTGGTCTTTGCTTCGTCTGGGGGGTACATGGGTATTTGATTATACCCCGAATATGCGTCCAAGAAACTCAATCTTCGATGACCGGCTGCGCCGTCAACCAATGCATCGATGTGAGGTAGCGGGTACGCATCTTTCGGGCACGCTTTGTTCAAATCCGTGTAGTCTGTACACATCCGCCACTTCCCGCTTGACTTCTTAACCATTACCACATTGGCCAACCAAGTGGAGTATTTGACTTCCCTTATGAATTTCGCCTGGAGTAACTTGGTAGTTTCTTCCTTTATTGCCTGGGCCCTCTCCTCGCCCATTTTTCTTTTCTTTTGAGCGACGGGTTTGACATCTCTACAGATTGGGAGTCGGTGGCAATGGAAATTTGGATCGATGCCCGGCATGTAGGCTGCAGTCCAGGCGAATAAATCAGAGTACTTTTGTAAGACCTATTTGATATCCTTGGCTTTTGTTTCAGATAATTTGGAACTCAAAAAAGTGACTTGGTCTTTACTCTTCCCGAGTTGGAACGGGACCGTCGTTTTAATGGGTTCGACCCTGTGTTCCTCTTCTATTCTCGGGTCGAGTTCCAGGCCCTCGATTGGCTTTCATCGGGCAACATCAGCAATAACGTTGACATCCCGTCCTGGCTTGGGAGTTGGTTGTACTTTTAAACTGGCGAAGTAGCATTCTCGTGCTGTTTTCTGATCAGCATGCACGGTAATGACGGTACCTTCCTCCGACGGAAATTTCATAGCCAAATGCGGAGTAGATAAGATGGCTCGGAGTTTGTTCAAAGAGGGCCTGCCCAACAGGATATTATACGAAGTGTTAGCAGTTACCACCACGTAACGTACCTTAATCCTCCTTCGTTGGTCATCCCCGAAGTAGGTATACAAGTCTATTGTTCCGCGAGTGTCTACCCGTTCACCAAAAAATCCTACCAAAGGTTCATCATATGGTGTTAATTCCTGCTCCGGTATGCCTAGCTGCTCAAAAGTCTTCCAATACAAGATGTCCGCTGAACTTCCTTGATCAACTAGCTTCTTCTTGATAATGCAGTTATTGATTTCTATGCTGATGACCATGGGGTCATCCTGTACCGGGTTGATGCCATGGAAATCTCGGTCAGTGAATGTTAAGGGGGCATACAGATGGGAGATGCCCGTCCTATAGCATTGACAGACTTGATGGCCCTTAAATGTCTCTTTCGGGCTGAAGACGAGCTTCCGCCTCCTGTAAAGCCCTCGGCAATGGTGTTTATGACTCGCCTGGGCTGATTGCGGTCTCGTTGATCGTTTCTTTCTTGGGACCTGCTATGTTCGCGGGATCGGTTCCGGGGAGGAGCCCTGTCTCGATTGTCTCTTCTATGATCCCCTCTTCCGGGGTGGTAATCGTTTTTTCTGTTATCCGTCATGCGAATGAAGTTTTGGAGGTGGCCGACCTTGATGAGATCCTCAATGCGATCCCGAAGGGCGGAGCATTCCTCCGTCGTGTGTCCTTTATTCCGATGGAATTGACATGCCTTAGTCTTGTGGGCGCGAAGAGGTGTCATAGCTCTTCGAGGAACAGCCAACACTTCCGTGGCTAGAGCTTGCTCTAACACCTTGGCCCTGCTAGTGTTGAGCGGCGTGTATTGCGTGTACCTTGGTCCTCTGTTATTCTGTTGTCGGTCAGCTATTTCTTGAGGACAAGACCTGGGAGGTTCTTTGTCATGCTCTCTTTTAGCGGGAAATAGGTCGGGTCAGTTTTGGTTGCGAAACTCGGCCAGTTCTTCCATTTGCATGTATTTGGTGGCTCTCTGCCGTAGGTCGTCCAGGTCTCAGGGTGGCTTCTTGCATAAGCTATTGACAAAAGGCCCGGGTCGCAGCGCAGTGGTCAGGTGGTGCATTGCTACGGCCGGGTCTAAGTTCTGAATAGACAACGTCATCTTTCCGAACCTCTCCATGAAAGCTCTCAAAGGTTCTTTTTTCTCTTGACGTATATTGACTAACGCGATGGATGTGAGCTGATGAGGTCGGCTCGTGGCGAATTGAATCACGAAACGAGAGGACAAGGATGTGAACGAGTCTACCGACCCGGGTGGAAGTCTAGTGAACCAATTAAGCGTCGGGCCTTTCAGAGAGGTGGAAAAGACTTTGCAAAGAACGGCATCCTCGTCCGTATATAGGCTAACCTGGGTGACGAAAGCGTCAAGATGCTCTTCAGGGTCGACGGTTCCGTCATACTTTTCCAAAGTCAAGTTTTTCCAGTTGTCGGGCAAACGAACCCCAGCAATGCTTGGTGTGAACGGCGTCCTTCCTTGTCGTCATTCTTGCGTCATTGTAGTTGGTCCATCTGATGGCCGAGGAATGTTAACCTCTTTATACCACCTCGAGGATTCACTTTGATCCCGGGTTGACTGATTTTGGGTATCGTGTGTGGGGTGCCATGTCCAATTATCGCTTCTGAGCTCGGCATTCTCTCTTCTCAGAGCCGATAATTCGTGGGCGTCTTTTTCTCTAAGCCTCCTGAGTTCCATCATTTCGGCCTTCAGTTGCTCGATGGCTGAAGATGGATTAGGCTGTGGAGACCGGTCCACGTACGATTCTTCCATTTTGTCGTTCTAATTAGTTTGCCGGATGAGGGTGCCTCGGGGCATCCCGAAAGGGTAATCGGTTGCGTTCTCCTACTGACTTCTCGTAGTTACTATCTTACTTCAGGGTCAAGAACCGTTATGGTTTCGGCCCCACGGTGGGCGCCAAAATGTTCCTACGTAGAAACACTCCTCTTGTCGTTCCTTCTCCTTGATCTTCTAAGTCTCCAGACCGACCGAATACTATCTCCAGTGGGTGGGGAGGGTACCTGCAAAGGCACTCCAACGATCAAGTAAGTATTCGGTACAGAGCAGATAGTGCTTTTATATGGAATAAATCATACCTCATTTATGTCCCATCACCTGTGAATTTATAGCGACGTGTGTGGGCCCAGGGGGCCTTCTATCTTGGGGGATGGGTAATACTGGGATTAACCTTAATCTCTGTTAATTAGGTGTGGTAATTGTTGTATAATGAATATCTAATTTGCCACGTGTCTACTATGGTTTGTCCTTTTTCCCTGCACTCGGCCTAACGTAAGGCCGAGAAGGGCATTCGGCTCGGTCAGCGGTCGAAGAGGTGTTCGGCCTGGAGCGAGGCCGAGGGGGTATTCGGCCAGGAGCAAGACCGAGGGGGTGTTCGGCCTGGAGCAAGGTCGAGGGGGTATTCGGCCAGGAGCAAGGCTGAGGGAGTGTTCGTCTTGGGTAGAGGCCGAAGGAAGTGTTCGGCTTGGAGCGAGGCCGAGGGGGTTTTCGGCCTGGAGCGAGGCCGAGGGGGTATTCGGCCAGGCCTAAGGCTGAAAGGTATCCTGTGCAACTTAAGGAGTTTCCTTGTTCCCCATAGGAAAGTTATCTGGTTATCTTCTTGGCCTGTCACTGCTTCGGCCCAGTCTAAGGCCGAAGGGGGATTCGGCTAAGTCAAGGGCCGAAGGGGTGATGCTTTAGGTTTTGGTGGTTGTTTCGGCCCATCAGCTGGCCGAGGAGGTGCCTACTAGTACAGGATGAAAAGTTTACAAAGAATTTGAAATCCAAACTTTTGTGAAATTCTTTAAAATAGTAGAATTTCAAATTCTCCCAAAAAAGTAAGTATTTGAAATTTCTCATATTTATTTTTCTTATTTCACTTATGTATTTTATCTTATCTCTTATCTCTTCGTTCTTTTAATTATTAAACATTCAAAAATATTTTGAAATTTATTAAATATTATCTAATATTAATTTTTAAAATAATTAAATATTTTAAAATTAGTTAATATTTATTTTTATAAAACTTAATTTAAAATTCTCAATATATGAATATATTTTTAAAATCAATTTTATCATGGTGAAATCAAATTATCATATTCAAACTAAAAATTTAAAATTTAAAAAATTTGAAATTGACTTATCCAAATAAAATATTTTTAAAATGATAGAAATTGAAATCAAGGTAATTCAAATATCAATAATTTTAAATTTCTTAAATTTTTAAAATCCTTTATCCAAACACACCAAAGACTCCCTAATTTTTATTGAAGATAGAAATTATTCAATTAATTCAAGAGTACTCAAATATATTTAAACCATAATTTTTTGGTCAAGAAACCTATGCATGAATCAAACCATAATTGTGAGCTCACT